TTATATTTGATTTCCCTTTATTCGCCCATTTATTACCAATCATCTCATCTGTAAAATGAGTCCTAGGTGAGATGATGTCTAAGGCCCAGCTTTAAGATTACCAACAACTGAGTTACCCGTGCCTTGCTTCTCTTTTGAAGTGACTCTTCAATCTCCTTCTCAAAATCACTTTCTTTTTGACATTTGTTTACATTTCTAATTTTACTAATTGTTGTTTTACTTGAGTTTTGTCAATTTCCATGATCTTAAAAATCAGTAGGTATTGTGTAACTGAATAGTATCTGCCAGGTTAATGACTCTAATTTTGGTCTTCTCAATTAGAGAATATTTTGTTATCTGCTATTTTCTTTTAGGTTTTGGGATTTCTGTATAGCAAGTTATTTTTAGTTTGAAAGGGAAATAGATGATTTGCCCCATGTATGTACTATACTACACACACATTTTGGATGCATAAATCACACACACACACACCCGTTTTGTTTTTAAAACTTCTTAGGGCTTCAAGCAACAAGCACTTACAGTATCCACAGATCCTGAGCACCGTTTTGAGCTTGCTCTTCAACTTGGAGAGTTAAAGATTGCATACCTGTTAGCAGTGGAGGCAGAGGTATGTACTAATTCATGATTTTTCATAATCAATGAAAAGGTCAGTAGGTACTCCTGCGTGTTTGTATAGTTTTGTTATTAAGGCTTCTCAGAAATTAATGACTCATTTTGGTGAGGTTATTGTCTCTCTTTGCATGTGTTCAATGGATTATTATTCTTAGCACTATAATTTATTTCCAAAGTATTTTCCTATCTTAACTGAGATCTGTTTTACAAGAGAAGGAAAGATTTAAAATGCTAGTGGGTAGTCTGGGAACTCTGAGAATAGACATAGCAGTAATCTGCAAATATTCCAAACTGGATGCTGGCAGTTAAAGGAGAGTTCTGACATTTTGCAAGACAGTTTAATGATATTTTTATAGATCTTTGTATATTGCGTGCCTCCAATTGTGATTTAAGTCTAGCATTTACTGGTAAATTGAGATTGTGCAAAAGAAGTTTTAACTATGAAGATCAAATGTGACGCATTTTATTTGATTTCTGAGATGCTACAAATGATTTTTATTTACTGCTGAATATTTAAGGACATAATTTTCTATTCTTTCAAAGAGTGTCATTAAATTCACTCATTAAAATAATTGCAATGTAAATACCTAAAAACTCCAGTTAGATGGTTTTTAGTTTCGCTATGTAATTACAAAATAAAAATATGAGTTTGTAAATATTTGTGCATCATTAAAATTAAATTTTGTGTACACAAATAACTTTCATTATATATATTCTGTTGTCAGCTCAGTAATGTTCAGGGTAACAGAATAATGTTGACATTGGAAATTTTGTTTCCAAAGACATTTTAACTTGGATTCTTTCTTGTAGTCTGAACAGAAATGGAAACAACTTGCTGAACTTGCAATTAGTAAGTGTGAGTTTGGCCTGGCCCAGGAGTGCCTGCACCATGCCCAGGACTATGGGGGTCTGCTGCTCTTGGCCACTGCCTCTGGAAATGCCAGCATGGTAAACAAGCTTGCAGAGGGCGCGGAGAGAGATGGCAAAAACAATGTGGCATTCATGAGCTACTTTTTACAGGGCAAGTAAGTATTAACAAGGCCTAGAAGATGATGAGCAGCACAATGAAAAGCAGTTATTTCTGCATTGACTTCAAGGATGGTTTTTGAGACGAATGATGAATGAATCCCAGAGAACTGATGGATGGTTAGTTGGTGTTGACTGGTGGGGGCAGTCAGAGGATGACAGCACTACCTTGGTGACACTCACCTTCAGCAAGGGATGTTCTGTGACATTTGGTCTAAATATGTGAGTTAACTGAGCTGTTCAGGGTGGGAGAACTGCTGAGCAAAACCCTTCTCACACCTGCCGGTTCATAGCCAAAGCGTTTTATTGGATGTCAGCAAGAGGCTACTGCGCTGCTTGTGGTACCTAAATGTCCACCTGGGCTGGTTCTGATCTGCACATGGCAAGGGTACAGGATGAACATGCCACTTTCTTTTAGATTTGAGCCCAGCTGTAGAACATAAAAGTGTTGCCTATTTTAACTCTTATCAGTTAGTACAAACCAAATCATTTAGACATTAGTTAGCGTTTTTGTAAGTAAAATATAGAAAACAGGAATATTCGTTAACTTTGCTCTACATATCAAATTATTTCATAAAACTTTTTTAAGTACTGGGGCATAAAATCTCAGTTCTTCGTGCATATTAAGCAAGCACTCTTCCATGGAGCTACATTCCTCAACCCTGTTATAAAACTCCGAATACATGTATGTGAGTGAAGGTTTATAGACCTTAGAAATAGGTGTACTATACTTATACATATTTCAAAAACCCAAAAATATTTTGAGAATTTTTTATAACTTATTTGGTGGTGACAAAACCTGACATGAACACAGGCATACTATTTTTAGTTGCTTTTATGCCACTTGATAATTTTTTATTGCATTTAATAGTCATGTGCTATTGCAAAAATATTGTTTGTAGCTTTTGGTTGGCACTGGATGTTGGATGATATATGATGTATGCACTATATTACTTTTCTAAAGGACAAAATACTGAATTCTGAAACACATCTACTTTATAAAGCTTGCACAGAGAAAAACTGACATTAAAAATTTTAAAGACACTTTGGTATCCTCCTACTGGGCACCACTGGACTGTATGCCCAGCCCATGTAAAAACACTACCCTAGACTGAATTTCTACCTATATATCATGAAGTGTTCAAAGTTTGCTAATCAATTCTGCCTTAACTTCTCTTGGAAAGCCCACTTAGATTCTTAAGAGTTGTTAAAACTAAGTAGATTGAAAGTGGTCACAAAGCTGTCTTATCCCCCGTCCCTAAAGTCCACTAATTTTGTCAAACACCATTAACACAAGTAAATGGCTCAGTAACAGAAATGAGACAAATGTGTGAGGGATTGGAGAGGATTTTGGTTTTACAACACAAAATCCATTTTTTTCAGGTGTTAAGTGCCATTATTATAGTGGTTTATTCTTATAACAGTGCCTCTCCTTTTAATCTTTAGGCTTGACGCTTGTCTAGAGCTCTTGATTAGAACGGGAAGACTGCCAGAAGCTGCCTTCCTGGCCCGGACTTACTTACCCAGTCAAGTTTCAAGGTACAGACTTTTAATTTTAGGAAGAAATGTTTCCAATGAAAACAGTGCACACTTACTTAGTCTCTTTGGTTCCATGATGTCTATAATAGGGTAGTGAAACTCTGGAGGGAAAATCTCTCAAAAGTCAATCAGAAAGCAGCAGAATCCCTTGCTGACCCAACAGAATATGAAAACCTTTTTCCTGGATTAAAAGAAGCCTTTGTTGTTGAAGAATGGGTGAAGGAAACACATGCTGATCTGTGGCCAGCCAAACAGTACCCCCTTGTCACGGTGAGTGGCAGGGTGCCAGGCTTCATTTAGTTTGACTGCAGGTTGAAAGTACATTTGTGACTTTAGGTTTCAAACTTGCTAAATACATTACTAAGAGCTAATGTCTGGGATTTAGGTCAAGAGTTTAGACCAATTGTGATTTCAGAATACTTTATCATTGCTTTATTCTCTGATAGCCAAATGAAGAAAGAAATGTTATAGAAGAGGCAAAAGGCTTTCAGCCCTCAAGAGCTGTAACTCAACAGGTCAGTAGAGTACCGCAGGTGATAATTTGCCTGAGATTATTGATCTATTCTGTCTCCCATTTCTCATCCTGAGCTTCCTTCCCTTGGGGAAAATATTTAAATTTCTGGGCAAGTTCTTTTTTCTTCATATATGCATCTACTTGGGCTTTCAGGAATTTGATGAGAAACCCGTTTCTCCTACTCCAGTTATTGTGGCCTCCCAAACAGCCAACAAAGAAGAAAAGGTAGGTCAGCCATTCCCCATGAACACATGCAGTGTAAGTGTGTAAGTGGTGTCATCAGCGTCAGTTTCTGAGCAGAGGCTCTGAGGTAGGGAGATGCTCTTTTGATTATTAAGGAAATTTTAGTTCTTGCTTTGGCTTGTGAACAAGGCAACTTTAAAAAAAAAAAAAATACATGTAACTTCACCATCTTCCTTTCATTTGCAGAGTTTACTTGAACTAGAAGTAGATTTGGATAATTTGGAATTAGAAGATCTCGACACAACAGACATTAATCTGGATGAGGATATTCTGGATGACTGAATATAGTTTTCAATTTACTCGACTGAACAGATACTATGTAGAGGTGTTGACCGTCTGAACAGTGCTTGAACTATGAGAAAATCCTTCAGTTTTTATATGCAAATGTATAAAAAGGAGAATAGCAGGAGTTTATGCACAGCATTTAAATTACATTTTCCTTGTTAACTAAAACAGACATGGGATTTTTTTTTCATACTGTCATTAGACCATGTCTCATAAAAATCTTTTGACTTCATAAAAAACTTGTTTCCTTTCTGAATAGTGAAAATAGACTTCTAGTTTGAGAAGACAGAGCCAAAATACCTCACCAAGGGATCAGCCTCACATTCTCTCTTCTCTGAATAACTAAATCTATACTTTTCAAATATCATCCATCACATTTTTCTTAGAACTGGGTATCAATCCCATAGTTATCTAAACCCCTTTCCTTGATCCTCAGTCTGCATAGCTTGGCTAGCAAGGGTTCTTATACCCCGTCCTGACTTTTGTGTACCAACTACCCATTTCTGGAATCAGGGTCTGCAACTCCTGTTCCTCTGACCTTGTTAAACCTGGCTTCTGTGTACTGTTTGTTTCTTTTGTGCTCTCTACCATGAATACAGAAATTCATAATGAGGCACTCAGATACAATCTAGTTATCCCCTTATAAAAAGCCAACAAATGCTTCTTTTAAGAGACAGTATCTAGAATTTAAAAAGAAAAAAATTATACAAAAGCTATAAATCAGTACCTTTTAATATGGACATTTTAAAACATTCACCTTAGTATTAACAAAGAGGAAGTATTTAGTGAAATGAAATGTAATTTTTTAAGCATTTTCAGGAAGCTGCAGAACGACTTAGGAATGCCTCTTGATAAGTTTGCAGTGTTAGTTCTATGTATGCTCCCTTCTGTGCTTCTGTTTTTGCAAAGACCTGTTTAGATTTTAAAAAAAGAAGTTTTAAAGCAATAATGATATATACTATTGATAAAGTCAGTTTCAAGATGTTAACATCTCTATAGTAGGAAAGATGAGTCCCAATTAAGGTCTTCCACATTTCTTCCACATTTCACAATAATTTCCCCCCTGTATATAAGCAATGTATGTGGACAGAAAAACACTACCCAGCATCGCTGAAGCAATATTAATTGAGCCTGAAAATGTCTGTCATTCCTTTTCATCTGTTTTCAGAAAAGATAGATCAAAATGGAAACCATTAGGTTCAAGAGAAATCTAGAGGATGAGAGCTAGCACACTCACGTTTCTCTTCAAAGGTTTACTCCAAAAGCACTGTGCTTAATCTGCCTTATTACAGAAAATCAGGATTGGTACTATAGTCTCTTTACTCCTGTTAGGGTAGCATCACTGATATTTTTGTCCTTGGTAAGCATAACTGCTTTATATTATGCAAAGAATATTACTGGGATAGAAGAAAGTTCCACAAAACAATGTCTGCTTTTGAGCACCAGAGGCGATTAAATCACCCAGTGACTTCCCCTTCCCTTCCTATCATCTCAACTCAGCATTTACACAGATCTATGTAAGCCCATGGTTTTGAGAGTTACACAGTTCCAAAATGATAGACAACCAAAGCTTGGAAGTATCTGAGCACCAACTGCTCTCTTCTTGACACTGCTCCCCGCCATGGGAACGTGTCCATACTGAAGAACAGGAAGCTACTCTTGGGCATGTGTTTTAGTCTTCCAACCTGCCTGCTGGTTATCTGACTACCTCACATGCAGTGTGGCCCTTTGTGTGCTCCAGAGAACCTCTGTGCTCACTGTCTGAAGATCCCAGCATGCCACCACCCCGTCTATGTACTGCATTCCTCCTCCACCCCACCTGGTCTTTCAGTCATCTAGCATGAAGAAAAATGGGGGCTGTAATCACACCTGATACTTTCAAAATCACAAATGTACCATGTTCACAAATCTGTTTAGTTACCATTAAATAGGACCTACTTCTGAATTTTTCCCAACTTATCACCATGAAACAGCCAGTGTGAAAAAAGACCCTTTACCTTAATTAAATTTACTCCCTCAGCAGTCTGCTCTTTGGCCTCTTGAGCTGACCGGCCATCTGGATGAAGCATGTGATACAGATGGACCAAGCTGGTGGCATCATCCACTCTGAGAGCAAAAGAGCTTAATGTCATTGAGGGGTTTCCTTCATTTGCTTCAGGATAATAAGTGTGTGCCAACTACAAACTAAATTACATTTCAGACTTTCCTCGGGCAGGGGTGTGGGGTAAGTTCTATGGTTTCAAAAGCATTTTCAGGAAAACTGAGTAGTTCTCACACTAACTATGAAGCAGGTAGGGCAAGAATCACTGCAGGAAGTGCTCAATTTATGAAAGTAAATATATTCCAAATATGGCTACATTCTTTTTGGAAATGGAACATCACTTTCTACAGAAACAACATTCCTAAAGTAGATGATCTTCATGCCAGCTGACTTCACCAACATGAAACAGTGACAAAACTCAGAGGGCAGAAATACAACTTCCTCCCACATAAGCAGAGGCTGTGGTCAGAAGGTTCTCAAAATTGCTTGTTTTCAGTGACATCTGCTAATCAGTTTTTCACTAAACTGAATTAATGGATAAATGCCTCTATACAAGAATTCCTAGGATCCCAAGAAAACACTCCCAGACCACTTGAGTATTCACAGGACACAGGAGTTAAAAATTAGTATCCTAGCAATGCAAATTTGAAGTTAAGCACATCAAATAAGGAAGTCAGGCTCTAGATCAGCAGTGTCACTCAAAACTACCTGCAGTGAAGCCAGGACAATCCAATTCTGGTCATACTTACCTTTTTAGAAATTTCAGTGTAATTTCTATCATTAAAACCTCTCCAGCTGTCCACAAACCAAGCAATCACCCATATTTTCTACAGTCAACGCCTTCCTACCATTTGCCACCTCAAAGCTGGCGGGGTAGAGACACAAAGACAACCTTTCAAATTGCTCATGTTTTAAGGTCTGCTGGGTACACTTAACTCAGTGAGCTACTGGCTTCTACTTGGAGATGGAGGGGTGAGGACACCCTAATTCAGTGGTACCCCCAGTTATCAACCTTTTATCTTCCCCACTTCCATTACCTGAGGTAGGGGATAAAGAGCAGGGTGACAGGTGACAGTGGGAACAAGTCCAGAATTCCTCAAGCCATGAAAACCTGAAGGAATGCTCTGGGCTTATCCCACCCTAAATGCCATCTCCCGAGCAAACAAGCCAAAGCTGCTCACATAGAAAAGCTTTTCAGAGGTAAAAATCAAAATTGTTCACTGCACGTGTATGGAGCTTGTTATAATCTAAAAAAAGGTCCAATAAATGTAGCAACAAAATGTCTTCCCAAAGAAAAGATAAAAAGAATTAAGAGCTTAGGCACGTGGCCTGTGGGTATCTACATATTAGAATCACATAGGACTTCGTGAAGTTCAAGCTGAAGTGTGATGCCTGCACAGGACAATTTAAATGTAGCCTAATTCCCTGTCCACATTTAAAATTAAGAGCAATAATTACTACTTTCAAAAATATCTTAAAAGGATCTCTACAAAACCAACTGTGGGACCTGAGTCTGAAATAAGTTTGCACAAAATCTGAATTCCGGCCTGGTCTCTGGGTCTCTACTCAGTAAGGAGTGCACCCTCTACTGTCCAGCCTGGAATCTGCAGCCAGCTTACTGTCCATTCAGAATGACCTCAAGAGGGGTTAAGTAAGTTCTCAAACCTCTCTCCCAGCATGCATGAACCACTTGAGATGTGAAGCTTCCACGTGATAAGGACTAATACTAGAATACCGCTCAGCAGACAGCTGAGTTTCAAACTGAAACGTTTATGTTGTTCTAATGTGTTACAAAAGCATTGTTTTAATAAGTTTAGAATGACTACATTCACAGGTCACATACATACACAAAGGCATGTCACTTTTGAGCATCCCCAACACCACCAGTCGCCTGCTTGTGGGGAATGAAGGAATGCTCTCTTCCCGCCTTCTGACCTGCACCTCATGTGCTGGAAGCGGGCTGGCCTGGAATCACCATTAGGAGCACTTTCTGTGAGAAAGACTCTTTCCAAAGTGGGCTGCATGTCTTAGACGGCACGTGTGGAGGCTTCTAGTTCTAAATGCCTTACCTTTGTGTGTATCATTCAAATTATGTAAGATACTCGAGTCAAAAACTACTAACAGTCTGAAGGTGGCAATATTTACTAAATCCTCTTGCTCTGACTTCAGTGTCCAGCGAGGCTTATTTGTGGAAAATTGACTCTCACCACAGCCATGCTGGCTTCCTTGTCATTTTGGCCTTCCTAACCCAACTACCACAGATATGCAAAAACAATTCTCAGTTTTATCGCAAGTTGTAGACTACAGACATATCTCAGAAATATTGTGGGCTTGGTTCCAAACCACTGCAATAAAGTGAGTAACATGAATCGTTTCCAGTGCAGACAGTTACACTACATAGTAGGCTACTGAGGTGTACAACGTTCTGTTTACTGAAAAGGAAAAAAACTCCTTTCATGTAAAGATACTTCTTCTACAAAATGCCAATAATCATCTGGAAAAAAGGCATCAAAAATCTTGCTCAACACAAGGTTGTCACGAATCTTCAGTTTATCAAAACATACAGCCCAGAGAAGAGAAGCATGTTAGAACGAGGTGTGCTTGTGTTATTTTCACACACAAACCAGGGAGCACACCAGCCTGATGCTAAAATGTGAGAAATTTCTTGTTCCACACCACCCTGAAAATAACGTTTTTGATGTCTTAGAAACCCTGAAAAAACAAGGGCTATCAAAGCGAAAGTTATTTTCCTAAGTTAGATGATGACTTACCAGAAAGCTCTGTAAGTAGTTTTACCAGAAAACAAGCATGCACCAGAGCTTACATCTACTTTCCTATTTAATCCCCTTTTGGGTATTTGGAAAGTTCACTGACACCCAGGGAGCACTGGTCAGTCCAGCATGGATCAATATTTAGTCTACCATACAAACCCAAAACCACTTACTCTTTCAAATCATCCAGCCTTGTTTGTACTTGTACAACATGAAAGCAAACTGGGTTATGCCAAAAGAACAAACCCAGAAAACTGGAGCAAGTGAAAGTTTCCATTTATCACTGGAGAATATACTGTTATTCTGGGAGAATACCATAGCTTAAATAAAGATTTATTCTTAAGAGCAGTAAGAGTGGTTTGGGCCAGGCATGGTGGCACATGCCTACAATCTCAGCTACTTCATCCTTCTGACCAAGGATAAAGGCCAGCCTGGGCAAAAAATCAGACCCCATCTCAACCAACAAGATGGGCATGGAGGTACACACCTGTAATTGTAGCTAAACAGGAGCACAGATAGGACTGTGGTCCAAGGCTGACCCTAGGCAGAAATGCAAGACCCTGTTTCAAAAATAACTAAGCCAAAAACGGGCTACATGGTAGACTGCCTGCCTAGTGAGCACAAGGCCCTGAGTTCAAAACCTCAGTACCACCAAAAAAAAAAAAAGAATGATTCTTTTACTTTTTTACCTACTCAGATCATACTTACAAATCTCTCTGAATCTGGTCAATCAGCAAACCATCAATCCTTTTCTTATTTACAAAATACCAAGCCATTCCACCAAAGTGTCTTGTTGAACGTAGAAGGTCATACTTTCCATGTTTGTCTATATCATCGTAGGTCTGGTAATGAACCTACCCACATAAAATGCAACTCTTCAGAAACGGAAAATAAAAGGAAGTGAGCAGCGTTATTTGGTTTACGCTGACTAGCATGAGTACTGCCTAGGAAAGTGAGTATAACCAGATCTACCCACTCCACTATCAGTCAAGACCATCCCTATACTGCCCACCTTATGTGGGCAGGAGAGTTCTGTTACGAAAGAAGAGCTTGTCTATGTGACACTAATCTGGAAAGCATACGGCAGCCTCAGCAAACAGTCCAACATTCACAGCCTTCTCAGTTACCCTGCAGCAGCCAGACACTGCTAAGCAAGCACCAATTCCATATACAGACAACTGGGTAGTGTGCCACCATCTCTTGGTCACTGGGAAAAAAGAAATTTTTTACTCCTCCTCTTTCCCACCAAGTACCCCATCCCATCAGTTCACCAATCCATCTTTCTAACTGACATACCTTCAGCTCTCCTTCCTGATCATCTTCCTAGATAAGGACTCTGGTAAGGGTTTCCTCTGTTCAAACGGCTCTGGAAGACCTACTGAAGTCCAGGGTCCTCAGCCTGGCATCAAGGTCACCTTGTGAGGTGGCCACTGACCTGTCCTTGAACACTGCATGTTCAAGGAAACCAGGTATCTGGCCATGTCTCAAACATACTTGGTTACTTTCTGCCTGTTGTTCCCTCCATTCTCTACCTGAAACATCTCTGCTCAACAAACTTCCCCTGCCACAATGTCCACTACCCTTCTAGAACCCTCCTTGAGAGCACTCTGTAACTCTGTAACCTTCTCTCATCATTCAACCATTGTTACGGTGACAATTACCTGCATACTTACCTAGCATCCATCTACACAATCACTGCTGGACAGCTGGTTTGATGCAGCACACCCTATCCTAGTTTATACTATCACCTGCACCACCCATGATAATAACTTACATGTAATAGGTACTCATGAATATGTACTTACTGAGCTGTAAGACACACATACTGTACTTTGTCAAATTTTAGTAAGTAGCTTTGTTCCCATATGGTAATTTAAAAGAGAACAGGCTTTGTTATCACCTGGTCTTAACCCTACCACTTACTAGGAATGCAACTTTCAGCACACCATCTAACCCTCCAAGTCTAAACTCCTCATCCTTTAGGGTTGTTATGAGGATAAAACATATACCTGACACACATCTGTACTCAATAAACATTAAAGTATTTCCCTCCCCCTTGTATCAAAGCTTATGACCAAACTCATTGTGCTAGATTAAAAATCTTACTCACAACAATACTTAAACCAGTATTTTAGAAACTATAAAACATACTTACTTTGATATATTCAGTGGAATCTGGCTCAAACTGGGCAACACAGAGATTGAGGACATCAGCGTGCCGATCCTGGCTATACATGGTCTAAAATCATGTAGAAGAATTGAACTCAGATGAGAAGAACACAAAAGTTTAGTACCTGTCCTGAGCCATGACAGTTCTGCCCATCCACATACAGGTCACCTATATAACCCATCAAAAGGCATAAAGAAACAACACAGGGTTTGTGACTGTCACACCTGGATTCAAATCATAGCTAAGCCAATTATAAGGGAAACCCCTGATCAAGTTACCATTAGAAACTGTGTTGATCCAGCAAAACCCCTTGTCCCTTCCTATTATTGCTTATACTCTCTCTACAACAAAATTAGAGATAAGGGCAAAATAGTTTCTGCTGGGTATTGAGGGGGGGAGCGGGAGGGGGTGGAGTGGGTGGTAAGGGAGGGGGTGGGGGCAGGGGGGAGAAATAAACCAAGCCTTGTATGCACATATGAATAATAAAAGAAAAATGAAAAAATAAATAAATAAATAAATAAAACAACTAATATTTCAAAAAAAAAAAAAAAAAGAAACTGTGTTGATCAAGGCAAGTCTCCAAGCAGCAGAGCCAACTGGTTCAACCAACAAATCATCATCACAGAGTCTAGAATATAAAATAGAATTCACCTTACCTTAAGGTTTTCTTCCTTAAAAATTATTGGTGGCAAAACTCTACGACCTTCTTTTGGGAAATAAATTTGTATTACCCGGTCCCGCTCTTCCCAAGAGGCTTTGCGCAGTGTGCCACTTGGTTCTCTGACAACAACAAAACGCTCCTAAAATAGAAAACATAATAAAAGATGAGTTGTGAGGACTTACGTTTAGTTTCTGTGTCCCACCAAGTCAATTGTTAAGAACTGCAACTGTAATTTGCAATTAGTAACATAAAATGCAACTTAGAAACAAAATGCAACCATGCCCTGATGTTTCAATTTTAAACCTCAGAGACTTGGCAAGGTTTGACACTTCCTTCACTTATCAGGGATGTACTATCAGAGATCTACACTTGAGTTGAGTATAAACTATGGTGCTAACCGGGGTTCAGTGCATGAAATGGTGCAACTAAAACTGATCTAAAAAAGTGAAAGAAGAGGGTGATATGAGGGGCAAATATGACCGAAGAACTTCATATGCATGTATGAAAACAGAACAATGAAATCTATGAAAAACTGTTTGAAAAGGGGGGGGTGGGAATAAAGAGTAATAGAGGGAGTGAATGGATGTATGGAAATATCACAATGAAACCTTTTTTTACAATTAATATACAGTAAGAAAAAAATACCAACTTGAGATTCACCTAAATCCATTATGGAGGAAAGATGGTTTATAAGACCTTTTCAAAGCTGGGCGCTGGTGGCTCATACCTGTAATCCTAGCTACTCAGAAGGCAGAGATCAGGAGGATAGCAGTTTGAAGCCAGCCAGGGCAAATATTACACAAGACTCTATCTCAAAAACACCCAACACAAAACAGGGCTGAGTGGCCCAAATGGTAGAGTGCCTGCCTAGCAAGTGTGAGGCCCTGAGTCAAACCCCAGTACTGCCTCCCGACCTTTTCAAATAATTTCATTTCCCCATCCCAAAGTCTCACCTAAACAGATTTTGGCCACTTTATAATCTGAGTTTAAAGTCTTTGGGATAAAAGAAAAAAAAACCCAAGAATGTGTAGTCTAAAATCTGTACCTCTATGACTTCTCATACTGGCATGAAACATAAATATCAGAGGGCTGGTCCACTACCAAATCCCAGGCCATGAGATCACTTCTTCCTCTGAGTACACCCACTGTTCATAATTTAGCTGGCAACTGGTTATATGCAAGATTCCTAACACTTCCCATATATTGTTATATAACTGGAAAAGGTCAGGAAATATGGAGGATAATTCTTTGCAACACCCAGAGCTTTGCATACTGCTGATAATTGATGACGTATCTGACTACTGTATAAATTAACCAGATGGTATCGACTCTCTACAGAGGAGTGAGAGTCTCTGGATGTGTTCTGAGGATAAACTAATTAAAACTTTCATCAAATACTGCACACAGACAACAAAAAAAAATTAGATGTAAAAGATAACTTTTCCTCAGTAGGAGTTTGTTAACTTGAAAAACCAGAATCCCAAATTTCTTTTGATTTGCTAAAATGCTCCTACTACCAGCCTTGCAAACATAAATTATTAAAGTAAAACAAAACAAAAATTCTATTTATGATGAGAATTGTGATTCTTGATCATTATGACAGGTATGAGGATGACTGAGTGCACAAACAAGGGCATAGTTGAAATGTCTTCTAATTGTAATTGTAAGTGATCAAAGAGTGACTAATATGGGATCTCCCCCAAACTCAACATTCTGTAGTGTTCTAATAAACTAATTATAAGTAACTCTCTTTCTTTACTTCCAAGACTCAAATACAAAACTGATTTTTTTTAAATGCCAGAGTGTTCTTTTAAATTGGCAAGCAGGGAATATGAGCCAGAGAATAAAAAGTGATGATGTCTGAAAATTCTCTGAGAAAACAGCTGTCACTCTTACTGAAAGTCTGGAAAGTGAAAATCCACTGGAAGTCTGAGTTTCTTGGCATCATCAAAAAATAAACAGGATAAAATCACTCCCTCTTCTCAAAAGTTTCCACACAGGAAATCAGTACAACTTGGGCAAAAAGAATTTCCTTCCAACATTGCCTTGTAATTTTTGTCCATTTGTGGTTAGTGAGTTTCTGTCTGGCCCTACATGTTTTGTTCTGTCTAAGCACATGTGTCTATTTGCCATCAATCTGAAATCTACTGAGTCCATAATCTGTAGGGCAATGGTAACAAAATGATGTGGGCTGGTCTGCACTTCGGTACTCCTTATATTTTATCTTCCAGAAGAGTCTCACCCAGTCACAAGAACTCTAGTTTGGAAGCTTCAGAGAGAAGCAGGTCACAGCATCCCTCAGACCCATCTCCACATGGGAGAACTTCAAACAAAGATCATTTTGCAATTAGACACTTACCCGGTGTGGTATGTTATGTGATATATCAGTAAACACATATTTATGTGTTTCTGTTCCTTCCAAAATTTTATCTTCTGCTAATACATCATTTATTGGTGTTCGTTCTTCCAGAACTGGTGGCATTTTTAATCGTACTTTAGCTGCCTCAACTGCCTGTCTGGTAGCCTAATGAAATAAAACATTTTTTAAAGAAAGTCACAAGGTTACAGGCCAAAAGGATCATCTAACAAAAGTAGCTACACATAAAAAATGCTAAAGACTGCAAAGAAAAGAAGCTGTGGCCATGAATCAGTGAGTGGAAAGCCAGACTTGAAATGGTGGACCCTGGCCCTTGCCTGTGGTATAGGTAAGAGCACCAGTTACAGGCTTAACTCAACAACAGAAGTCTGTTATGAAACAGTGCCAGGCTGTAAGAGCTGCTTGCAACAAAGCAGAGGACTGCATCTGTGTCAGGTATCAACCAATCACTCTAAATGTATTTGCCTCACTTAATCCCCACACCTACCTTATGAGCTAGGTGCTACTATTATCGTTCCATTTGATAGAAAAGAGAGACACAGTTGTTAAGTAAATTGCTAGGAAGTTCCAGCACTGGGATTTGAATCCAGGTCACCCAACTTCAGAGTCTATGCTCTTAACCAATGACCACATTACTCACAATGGTTACCTCTGAGAGGTAAAAAGGGGACTTTCACTCTTCATATGATACACTATAGGATATTTTAATTTTATGCTACAATTTTAAATTACTTTTGAATCAGAAAGAAGAGTATTAATGCTTCACATACTCATACATCAAAATGTATTCCACAAAGGACTCAGTACCCATGGCTCCAGGACACTGGTGTCTGGAGTAGGAAGCAGTTCAGCAGGATCTCAGAATGCCATCAAAGCTTCAGCCCCAAGGCAGCACACAGTAGCTGTTTCTCCGGGAAGGGAGCTGGGGCAGGCAGGAAAAAGGAAGGATGCTCAGGATGGTTTGGGGCTGAAAGCAGCCTCTGCTTGGATACCCAGACCTCACCCACATACCCCAGTCTGCTTAATTCTGGTCACAGCCCTAGCTCCTGTGTGCCTGCCTTCTCACACTTCCTTTCTCAATTCTATGCCTGATACACCCCCTAGTGATATGGATAAGCAGTTATAAGCATCTGCAGGGACCTCTGGAAATCTTGGTTAATCCCTTAAAGTATTCTACCAATAAACTTAAGTTCACATACCTCTTCCAACTGTGCCTGGGTCATCAGCTTATAGGTTGGTGGCTTCAATTCTTGTATAGCTGGCTTAAAAGTCTTCTGCAAGTTCAAGCCTGTCATCTTGATAAGGATACTTTGAACTTCCTCATCCATAAATGTAGGTTTCTTCATCTCTGAGCTACCAGATTCTGCTAAAATGGATAAGAAGCACTGCACAATACTAATACTATGAGATTCTTTCATTCATTCAACTTTCATTTAAAATTTACCAAACATTCACTCTGATGAGGATACAGTCTCTGACAAAAAGTCTACTACAGGAAGCAACAGAAAAATAATACGATAATGATATAATGGCTGTTGACATTTACAGCTATTATCTCCCATATTTTAGGCTTTTTGGTTTTGTTGCAATGCTGGGGATGGAACTCAGGGCCTCATGCATGCCAGGCAAGCACTTGCCATTGAGCTATCAGCTCTGTCACCTATAACCTATGCATAACATACATTTTCAAGAATGCTTACAACAGTGCACAAAATAGGAACTAATATCCCAATTTTATAAATGAGGATGCTCATGAGGACACAAAGACAACTATCTCAGGACATAGTCAGGATTTTCCAAGTTTTGTCTGGTAGCAGAGCCTAGGTCACTTCCAATCTAATCTCAGTTCTGCCTCATGTATGTTACCCATCCCTTTGCCTCACTTTCCATAGCCATTAGGAAAATTGAAAGCAAAAAAGCCATCTGTTCCCCGGTTCTTCTTCCCCTCCTAGTCCTATGGATGTTGGTATTCTGCTGAATTCTGAACTATTTCCTTTTCTTTCCTCCCTTCTCATGTTCTCACGGGATGTTCTCTTAGCTTCCTATAATTTTAACTATATTCATATGTTGGAGACTCTAAAATTTGAATCTCTAGCCAAGATCCCTTTACCAATAAACTACCCAATGGACACTGAATCTGCACTTCTATATCACCCAACTTTCTCCTGTCTCAAACTTTCTCTTGTCTCAAACCTGCTTTTCCTACTGTTCTCTATCTCAGCACTATCCTTAAGGTCATATAGGCCAGAAAACCCAAATCATTCCTGATTTATCCTATACCCACCACATGAAGTCAAGATAAGTAGTAAAAATAACGATAATGATAACCACTAACAGTTATTATTTCTAGTATGCCAGTCCTTACTAAGCTAACTAACTTATATACTCAGCATGCTATGAAGTACACACTACAATTATTCCCATTTTAATCTCTCCATTTCCCAATGTCATTACTCTAGTCAAGGCCATCATTGTCCCTTTCCTTAGCCTTCCTGACTCCTTGCTGGCCTCACTATAAACCATTCTCCACAGAGACTACTTAAGAGTAACCTCCTAAAAACATAATCAAGATGACTGACAAGTTTAAAACTCATCAATTACTTCTGGCATCATTTAGAAACAAGCTATAGTGGTCTGCTTGCTTCCGTGCATCCCCGTCTAGATGAAATGCTCTCTGAAGACCAGAACTCTGTCCTATACTCATCTCTGGCACCACAGTCTCTTCGAGTGTCCAGCACACAGTAGGTAGCACTACACTCAAATCAATCTCACCCAGATGTCCAACTTTAGTTACCATTTTTACTGATGTTCCTCAACTAGTGTATACTAAACACCAGAATCTGAAGGCACCTCAAATTATGTCTAAAACAGATTTAATTATGCCTCCCTTCCCTTCTCACCTGATCTACTCCTGCACCACCACCACCACTCCACAATAAAACCTGTTCCTACAAATTAATTTTTTCCGCCTTGGTATAAATGGTACCTTCCATTCAACTGCTGGTGCCAGAAAGATGAGAAGCTACCTTGATTTTTCCTTTTAAGCCTACAGTCTAAAGCTATAATCAAACCCTATCGATCCTAGCTCCAAAAAACACCTGTGTTCAGTCTCTTTTCTGGGCTTTTGCATATTCCCTCTGCTCGGAATGCATTTTGTTTTCTCCTTAGCATGGTTAGCCAGGTGTCAGCTTTGGAAGCCATCGCTGCCCGTCCAACCCAATTTGAGGGCCCCTTTTCTGTGCGTCCCCCATCACAGCCCGGGTCACAGCGCACGGCCTGGGCTTTGCGTTCCCCCAGGGCAGAACCCGCGAGGCCTTGGTTACTGTGTCACCTAAACCTAAGCTTGGCGCGGTGCTTTGCAAGGCGCGGAGCTCAGGGACTGCTGGTGACTGACTCAGAGGATAAACCGGGGCGATGACAGCCCCCGCAGAAACAGACCGAAGTCCACCGAGTGTGAGAGGGCATCGCGCGAAGAGCCGCGCGGTTCCGGCCAGTCAGAGGCAGCTTCTAGTCTCCCGGGAGAACGGCCCCGCGGACGACTGGCAGGTCACTCACCGGCCTCGGAGCTGAGCCGGCGGCACGGCAGTCCGCCCTCGAAGGGCTGGAGAGGCCGCTGGAGCAGAGCATCGGGCTGGCGCTGGGTTCGGACCCCGACACAGACCTGCTTCGTGCCGCGAGTACCTGTCAGGAACCTCCACACACACACACGGCTTCTCACCGCCGCCATGCTTAATAGCGGCAACTTGCGCCGGAAGTGACGAGAAAAACTTCCGGTTCACGGGCTGTTCCTGTGACATTCTGGGAAATGTAGTCTATTGGAGCGGAGTGTACCTGGAGCCTTTTGGGCCTACAATGGATTGTTCCTTGAAACTACCTATTCACAAGTAGAGGGTGCTCTTGTCTCTCCCCACGCATGCAGCCAAAGTTCGACAAGTGCTCATTTCCCTGGTTCTTGTATTCGTTTCCATGGTTCTAAATAACTAAACACATTTTGCCATAAAACCATCCCTAGGTTTAAATCCATTTTGCCTGTTGGACTTCTCCATTCACACTTCTCCTCCGCTCCTGATTCGGAGCCCTGTTACCATCAACACTACCAAATAACCTGTTTTATAACTCATTCCTTTCCTTCGTAGCTCTTTTCACAATTTGTGGTTAGACACTTGGTCTAACAAGGCATATGGTTGCAAGGAGACCATTGTTGAGGGAAAACCTGCTTAGAGTTCAGTACCGTCCTGCAGATGCTTCCTTCAGTTTTCCCACAGTGCTGCCCAGGTTCCACTAAAGACAATGCCACCTTCTAACAATTCCACAGTTTTCACTTTATCACTTAAATTAAGCTCATTAACTTTTACTGTGTGTTAGGGGGCACCATTTTTGGGAGGCACGTTTTCACAAAATTAAAGGCAGGGAAACAATCCATAGATCACGCAAAGATTTCAACACAACTGAAGATTATGTAGGACTGCCTGAGAACTTCTCCACACCAAGTGAACTGGGTAATGCACGCAAGAATTTAAATTTTTTTATTTTGAAATCTTTTGATTTTTTCAAATTTATTTTTGACATTTGGCCAAAACTATGGCTAATAAATTTGTGAATAAGGCTGACTTACTGTATTTTGCTTATTTGTCTGCTTGTTTTTTCCTCACCCTATGAAGATAGTTACTCTACAGATTTTATGTAATATCACCTGTTCTAGTACATCTATGTGCACAGCAAATATTTGTTGAATAAATAGTGAATGACTGAATGGTTCTGTTATATTCTTTCCCAACTACCCTGTCTGTTCAGACTATAGATTGGTAAGTGCTAAGTAAGCCCTTATCCCAGTGCTTGGCAAAAGAAAGTTGTTAAGTAAACACTTGTTTGAAATAGCTGGATGCAGAGATTTAACTGCTAACTTATTTTCTTTTCTTCCTCACTCCCCATTGTGAAAATTCATCATGCAAAATGGGGTCATTTCCATCATGTTTGACTAAAATGCAGTCAAGGGAAACAGTCTGTGGACACCTTCTCCTAGGATCTATCTCAAGAACCAGTCTGCAGAAACAGCCTGCCTTATCTTTAGGATATTTTTACTTAGCTGCTAAAAGTGAAACTGCCAAATATGACCTTAAGATTACTTTTACATTATTAGACATGGGTCACACACTAAGGAGAGACCATGCAGGGGTGGGATAGGGAAAGGGAAGGAAATCAAAAACTTGAATGTGGTTGATGTGCTCATTGTGAAGGAACGAATACAATAATCTTAAACTGGCAGAGGCCACTATGGGAAGGGGACTAAGAAGTAATGAAGAGGTTTGGTAGAAATGAATCAATTTGGGTTGTAATACACACATGCATGAAAACAACACAACGAATCTCCCTGTATAGCTATCTTTATCTTAAACTAGCAAAAATAACACATTTTTCTTATTATCGTTTATGTTTTTTTCTTCTACAAAAGCAGAGGAGAGCAGAACAGGTTCAGGGGGCAGGGAGGTGGCCCAAATAATGTATATGTAAGTAAATGTAAAAATAAAATAAAATTTACATACTAACATCTCTGCTTTCCAGTTAGAACTTGCCAGTTCTCATAAGCACCAAAAGTGCCAAAAAGCAAAAACTTCTTTCAAAATGTATGTAGATTTCTCTGTCCTAATAAAACCCTTATTCTTACCTTTGTTCTTTGGGCATAACTAAAGGGCATCCAGTCTGTGCCTGTATGTTCTGGTTTACAATCCTATTCTTTGTTTATTCCCAAATAAAGTTTCTGTAAAATTTCAAAAAATACATATGTGTATTTTTGTTTGATTTTGACACCATTAAGAACTCTGATTAGGAACTATCTAACCAACATACAATGTAAGGCTATTCGGAAATGTCACAATGACACCTCCCTGAGCAATGAACATATGCTAATAAAAATGGAAAAAAGAACTCTTCTTATGAACTCATTTCCTGTTCGGGTAGGAGAAGAGGTCAGCCCTAGGCTTGGCACTGATTCGGGCATGGCTGTTGCCCGGCACTTCCTAATAGTTTTTTTCATATCTGTGTTGGGGGTGCTAGTAGGATGCATGTACATGTCACCCAGCCCAAACTATTCTCTGAGAATCAGTCCTCTACTTCCTCCTTTTAGTCTCTGTTAGGAGAGCAGGTCTCAGTGGTTATATTTTTCCTATAAATATCCTCCAGACACAGCTGATGGGCAGTGGTGGACACTTAATTCAGGAGTCTAGATTAACATCCTGTAACTGCTGTAACACATTAGTACACATTTGGTAGATGAAAATAACAGATATTATCTCAAAATTCTGCATGCCATGAATCTGAAATCAATGTCAGTGGGCTGAAATCAAAGAATCAGCAGATCTCTGCTCCCTTCAGGAGACCATAGGATAGAATCTGTCCACGTCTCTTCCAGCTTCTGGTATTTTCCAATGTTCCTTGACTGTGACTGAATTCCTCCAGTCTCTGCCTCCACCTTCACATCGGCTTCTCCTCTTGTGTTTATGCCAAATGTCCCTTTGCCTCTCTTTCTTATAAGGATGTACATGATTGTCTTTGGGGGTCAACCTTGATAATCCAGTATAATGGCCTCATGTTAAGGTCTTTATCTTAATCATATCTGCAAAGATTCTATTTCTATATAAGGAAATGTTTCCAAGTTCAAGAAATTAGGAAGTAATTATATTTGGGGGTAAGTGAAGTAAGAGGGACATTTTTCAGCCTACCCAAGTAGAATTTCTCTCAGTAATCTGAACTAAGAGTCACAGAAACTATAGTTGGTGGTAGAAACCTAAAGCAAATGACTGTTTAGAGATTGGGCTGGAGAAGCTTTTTGCAGCAATGTACTCACTGATGAGTGAGCAGAGGAAGTCAGTATGCAGAGAAAGGCAGGAAAATGGAGCTGGTCTCAGAAGCACAGGGAGACTGTGTGGAGAGAGATGGAGAAAGGTGCTGTCTTGTCCAAAGAGCCCCCAACTTCCTCTTCATGAATCTTTACTTGGGCTACAGTGAGTTTCCTCACCTAATGAGTTTCCAGCTGTAACATTTGACAAATGTCCACAATTTCAGAGCCTTAGAAACTCATCTTCATATGAATCATATGTCATAGCATTTATCTTATAGATTTTTTCTCTTTTTTCTGGAAGTACCAGTGTTTGAACTCAGAGCCTCACACTTCTAGGCAAGTGCTCTACTACTTATACCATTCCCCCAGCCCTTTTTGTTCATTTATTTTTTGTATAGGGTGTCACCTTTTTTTATTACCCAGGGCCAGCCTGGACTGTGATTCTCCTACCTATTCCTCCCTCAAAGCTGGGATGACAGGCACATACTATCATTGGTTGAGATGGGGGGTGGATTTTGCTAACTTTTTGCCCAGGCTGGCCTTGAACTGTGATCCTCCCAATGTCTGCATCCCAAGTAGCTGAGATTACAACTGTGAGCCACCATGCGTGGCCTGGACTTTGAGCATAAAGTACTATCAGGATCCAATGCTGAGTGTTTCATAAAGGAAGCATGTGATGGTTAATTTTGATTGTCAACTTGATTGGGTTAAAAATATCTAGAAGACTGGTAAAGCACACCTCTGAGCATTTCCAGAGACAATTAGGTGGTCAGGGCTCTGACCTTGTGAATCTATTAATCCACTGATAGATTCATAGTATGATGGCATTATTGGGAGATGTTGAAAGGTAAGAGGTGGGGGCCTAGTTGGAGGAAGTAGGGCACTGGAGAGTATGTCCTTGTGGGTATATCTTGTCCTGGTCCTTCCTTATTCTCTTTTCTCTTCTTCCTAGCCACCATAATATGAACGTCTCTCCTCCACTATGCCCTCCCCACCATGATGGACTAAACCCTCTGAACCTGTGAACTAAAATAAGTGTTCCCGCCTTTTAAGTTGTTTGGTTAGATATTCGGTCACAGTGATGACAAAACTGACAAACACAGAAGTGTGAGAAGATTGCGTGGTGGCAATTCAGTTACTTACTGAAGAATGTCTTCAGAGGTTCTCTGGTTACAAGCAATACAAATCTTTCCTGAGTAGACACAGATGGCAGTGATTGGAAGGATGTTGCATATTTCATAGACTTTAAAGGAAATCTGGAACAGCCAAGCCTTGGGAAGGATTGGAAGTAGCTGCTCCAAGAGCACCAGAGGCAAGACCTTAAGAAATCTCTCAACTGGAGGCTGTTTTCCTAATAACTTGGTTGTAACTACATGCTGTCCACCAAATCCAAATTCCTGGTAAGAGAGGTTAATTGGTCTGAATGTAGGCATATTCACTCCTGGAGGATCAGGAGAGTGAGAGTGCCATCTGAAAGTGCCAAGACCAGCTGGCTGCAGCTATTGGTAGCATTCATCAGGTCATATCTTCAGAGATCACCAGCTCTGCAGAACAGGAACTATTTCCTATTATTTACAATAGAAAAGTATAGTGCTATCTCAATAACCCAATAGGTGATTTAACAGGGTCCGAACTTTTGTTTCCCTAAAAAGAGTAGGATTCTGCCCTGAGATTTGAGAATTCAAGATGTGGATGGGGGTAGAAGTCATAGAGAGGGATGGAGAGAGGAGGGATAGAGTCCAGTGAAGAAAGGGATATTCTGGACAATCCAAGAACTCCTGTGCTCCCCAAAAACACCCTTGCAACTGCTGTATAATCTTCAATATCCTATACTCGAAGCCTCCCCAAGGCTCACACCTGCCCCACTTTTGCTCTCATCCTGAGATTTT